ATTAAGAATTGGTTCGGTTTCGGATTAAGAAATATGATAACCGTAAAAACGGTTCGGTTAATGGATTTTATGAAAAAATCGCGGTTCAAACCGAATTGAACCGAATTTTAAAAGATATATATATATATATATATAATATCAAGTTTTATTTTTATTAATTGGTTTTTTATAATTTTAATGATATTAGGATGGTATAGATATGTAATATTAAGTAATGTCTTAATATTATTAGTTTTTATCATAAGTTAAATGTAATTAGGTTGAGTAATTATTTTGCTAATATTAACAATTTATTCTTGTAGATAGAAATTTTTGGAATCGTAAACCAAACCGAAACCAAACCGTTTTTTCGGTTTGGTTCTATTCCGGTTTTACAAGTGTAACGGTCTAGTCTGGTTCTCAAAATCACAGAACCGTTAGGATCGGTTTGGTTCTTGGATTTTCTCAGAACCGAACCAATTCAGACTGTGTAAACCCCTACTGTTTATATCTCATAAATTTGGATGGTATTGTTTATTGGACTTTTGTTTAGTTGTTCAATTTGATTATGGTTTCATGTTTAAACTTACGTGTGCCTTGGGTTAAGGCCCTGTAGGTCACAGCCGGTCATATCCGGATTTGGGATGTGACAATAACAACCTAACCAACTCAGCTGTATTAGTTATTCAGTTAATCTGTTAATCGGTGAGTTGATCTGATGGTTGTTGTGTGAGTTGATCTAATGGTTGTTGCGGTGGTTTATCATGATATATTATCAAAATCATGCTTTCTATTAAATTTTTTATTTTATTTTTACCAAAAGAAATATGATATGTTCGTACACGATTGTTGATTAATCTATTGTTTTATGAAAGATCTCCTCAATTGTCTCTACAAAATTATCGGTACCCATGCCGACAGTACCTTAAGGAACCCTTACGCAAATCCATTCTATAATTTAGCAATTCTATTCCTTGTACTATATTTAAGACAAGGAATATGTATAAGAGAAAATGCCAAGACTCAAATCAAGCATTAGTAAATTATAACATTTCGTCAGTAATATATCTATATATATATATATATAAAAGTTCTATATACAAATGATTTTTTTATTGATATTTTTAACCAAGACAAAAAATAATGTGTCACTACAACAAATAAAGGTTTTAGGAACAAAAAAATTTTTTATCTCTAAAGTGAAAATTTGGTTAAAAAAAAAAAAATTAGGGTCCAATAAATACGACATATAAAAGATTTATATACCAATTTTTTGTCTTCATACGTGAAAATTTTGTTGCGAAAAAATATTTGAAAATCAATTTCTGTCGTTGTGAGGATAATTATTAAATGGTCGTCCCAAAAAGTTTTAAAAAATGACTTTTAGCAACAGTTTTGAAATGTCACTCATAAATGTATAAAATAATTTCATACAAAAATGCTTATTTTTTAAAACCAAAAATTTTGTACAAAAAAGATAGTAATTCATCACTAAATATCCAAATTCGTCGCTAAAAATGTAATAATAACACTTTTGACAACAAAAATATTTTTTTCTTAAAAAGTAATTTATGTCCCTAAATTTTTGTTGGAAAATTTTTAGTGTAATGTACACTTTAAAAAAAAAAATACAGATAAATAGTAAACTTTATATATATTAATAATTAAAAGGGTATCTACCAATAGGTCCCAATAGTAGGACCTAATACCCATCAAATTATTTTGAAAATAAGTCATAATAAAATTCACCTTGCTTGTTTTCACTTTTCAAAAAACACTTTTCAGGAAATTTTACTTTCTTATTTTTCCTTTTTTTTTGTTTTTACTAAGTTTTTTTTTAATATTTTAAGCAATTTTTTTACTTTTTAGACACACCTAACATAAATACACCTAAAAAGTAAAAAAATTGTAAAAAAAATCTTTTAAAAATTCACTAAATACCAAAAATATAAAAAAAAAATACTAGAATTCAGTACATTATTTGTATTTTTATGTATTTATTAATTTTTTAAAATATTTTTTCACAAATTTTTTACTTTTTAGATGCATCTAGTACATCTAAAAAAGTAAAAAAAAATGTTTAAAATTTAAAAAATATTCACTAAAAACAAAAAAACACAAAAACCAAAAAAGTTAGTTTTCAAAAAACTTAATCCAGAAAACTCAAACCAAACATACTGATTGTCACTAAAACAATCGGTGACCTTTTCTGTCATTGTTTTTCTAAATTGTTGCTAAACTTACAATTAGTGATTTTTTTCTTTGACGAATTTTTTAAACTGCTATTAAAAATTAAAAATTAGTAACCTTTTTTGTGACGATTCGCTAAAACTTGCGATTAGTGACATTTGTTATGACAATTTTTAAACTGTCGCTTAAAATTAACAATTAGTTACGTTTTTTAATAATATTTGATAAAAAAATGTCATTAATTATCATAAAACATATTGGACAATAACTACACATATTACATAAGTCTCCCTAATTAAAATCACATGCTATGGTATACATCTTCAATATGCAAGTTATGATATTTATCACAAATGCCATATTTGATTTTTTTTTTTTTAGTCATAATTAAACGCTAGATAATTAAATAAATTTTAGATCGTAATCAAAATAATGTTATGGCTAAATAATTTTTGGATCGTAAGCAAAATAATATTATAAGGAACATCACAATGAACCATAATTAATACAATAATGTTTATAACCAAATTATAATCAACACATAACTAACACCACAACAGATCGGAACTAACTACCAACATGGTAACTAGGGATACTCTTGGGCATACCCGGAGTGTGTATCATAGAATTTCTTATATTTTGAGGGTGCTTAAAAGAATTTTGAGGTGTTTTGAAGTCATGTCAGGCCTCAAGATTAATTTTCATAAAAGTATTGTTTGTGGAATTGGGGTGGGAGAGGAGTTAGTTAAGGAGTTTGCTAACAACCTGAATTGCCTCAGCCAGAGTCTACCTTTGTCATATCTTGGCTTACCCTTAGGGGCCAACCCAAGGAAAAAAAGTACTTGGAAACCAGTGGTGGAGAAGTTTAAAAAGAAATTAGCATCTTGGAAGAGGAGATTCTTGTCTTTTGCCGGTAGAATGACCCTAATTAAGTCTGGATTGTCAAATCTTCCAGTGTATTTTCTATCTATCTTCAAATTGCCTATTGGTGTGGCTAAAACAATTGATAGGATTCAATCAAACTTCTTGTGGGGTGGTTCGGAAGTTCAAAGGAAAATTCACTTAGTCCAATGGAAAGAGGTGTGTAAAAGTAAAGACCAAGGGGGGTTGGGTGTGAGAAGTCTCAGTGATGTTAACCTCTGTTTAATGTTAAAATGGTGGTGGAGGTATGGTCATCAACAACAGTCACTATGGAAAATGGTGGTATGTAGCAGATATGGGGGGAATGGGGGCAGGTGGAAACCAGAAACAGTGCCAGCTGCAATGGTATCTACAGTGTGGAAGGACATTGTATCATTACTTTCCGCAAATAGTGTAGCGGCAGAGTTTTTCTCACAAAATTTCAGGATTATTTTGGGAAATGGGGAAAGAATCCATTTTTGGACGGATAGATGGTTCAATGATATGAGTCTTAGGTGTGAATTTCCTAGACTATTTAGTCTATCAGTGGAGAAGGAAGGTTCCTTGCAATTTTTTTACCACAGGAAAGGGCCGGGCAGTGATTGGAAGTTGGCATTTAGAAGATCACTTTTAGCTTGGGAGGAGGAGGAAGTTCATAGGCTAAATGTATTACTAGCAGAGGTACCTAATCTAAATCCTCTAACTGAGGATCACTTTTTGTGGAGAGCAAGTAATTCTGGAGTATTCTCTGTGGCATCAATGTGGAAAAGGTTGGAATTAGTTAATGGACCCACAGTTTCCATTTCAAAGTTCCTGTGGAAAAATGCAGCCCCCCCGAAGGCTCAGTTCTTCACCTGGTTAGCTTGGAAAGGGAGACTTAAAACAGCAGAATTCATGCAAAGGATTGGAGCTATACCTGCCAATGTCAGCCCACTTTGTGTATTTTGCAAAGCAGAGGTAGAAACCATAAATCATGTGTTGCTTTTATGCCCATTGGTATGGAAGTTATGGTCTGCGTTGGTAAACTTGTGGGAAGTGCAGTGGGTAACACCAGGATCTGTGGCTATTTTGCTTGACTGGTGGTCTGGTATGAAATTCAGGAAGAAGGAGTTCAACATTTGGAAGGTGGTCCCTTTGGCCATGCTTTGGTCCTTATGGAAACTTAGGAATGAATGCTTATTTAACAATGGTAGTGCAGATTTTGCACAGATAATAGAGCTACTGAAAGTAAGAATTGCATTATGGATCAAGTCATATGTTAAAGGGGTGAATTACACTGTGCATGATATTGTCGCAAATTTGAAGCAGGTGAGAGGTTGTATCTCGTAGGTTGTGCTTGGTCTGTCATTATGCAGAGTGGTAGCAGTGTGGGAAGTAGCAGATTTGCTTCTAGAAGTCTGGTCTGCAGCTATCTCTCTGGTTCCAGTGAAGCTCCTGTAGGTGAAGCTTATGTTATTATGCAGAATGCTAGCAGATGGTTTTGAAGCAGATTGGTATGTATGCAGCTTAATTGCAGAGTGGTAGGTACCAGCTTCGGGTCTGTCATGGCAGTGCAGAGGCCTACTTGGTTCTGGTCTGGTGCTGACTTTGTTTTGCCCTCATTCTGGAGCCCTCATGCTGACTTTCCTGCCTCACTGATGGTCTGATTCTTGTTACTGTGTGTGGTATGTTTGCTTTTGCTGTTGCTAACCAACCACCGTGTGTGGTCTGCTGCTGGATGCTCCAGCAGAGGGAAAGATGGTGTTGGCTTTGGTATGTTTCTGACTTTGGTTGTATTGTGGGTTGGGTTTGATGATTGTGGTTGGTTACTCACCAACTCACCATCTTTCCCCTACCCCTTCCCCCTCCTCTTCTCCCTTATTGATGTATTCCCTTACTCGGTTTTCATCAATAAAGTTTCCTTTTCTTCGCTGATCAAAAAAAAAATAGAATTTCTTATATTTTATTTATTTTATTTTCAAGTCTGTTGTATGCTTTTCCTTGATGATCAAGTTCTTCATTTAGATGCAAAATATTATCTGATCATCCAGACAAACAAACAAAAAAAAAAGATGCTTGGCGGTGGAATTGTTAGTCACCATCTGACGGCGGGATGATTTCAAACCATAGTTCTCTATACCTCTCCGTAACTTTGGCACTCTCTCTTGGAGTGGAATCTTCAATTTTACTATTCTAATCTTGCAAGCTTTTTCTTCCATTTTCCCACAGATTTCTCGAGAAAATGGAGATTACCCATCTTCGTTCTTGGTTTTTTGGCCTGTTCTCTGTCTCAGTGCTCTCGCTCTTCGTCTTAGTTCATGGTCGGTCCACTTCGATCGACGCTTTTGTAATGCAGGATCTGAAAAAGAGTCTTAACCCATCGGATTCACTCGGTTGGACAGACCAGGACCACTGCAAATGGCAATACGTGACATGTTCCTATGACAATCGGGTCACCCAGATCCAAATCGGGTATCTAAACCTCACAGGGTTTCTCCCTCCGAGCCTTGCTAACCTCACCGCCTTGCAGACACTCGATCTCACGGCCAACAGTCTTGGTGGTAGGCTCCCAAGTCTGGCTGGGTTGAGCTCGCTTCAATATCTCTTCCTCAGCTACAACATGTTTTCCTCCATTCCCTCTGATTTCTTCCTCGGCATGACGTCCTTGGAAATTGTCGGCCTCGACTACATCCCCTTCTCGGCACAGCCTATACCGGACAGTATCCAAAGCGCATCGAGCCTCAAGGTTTTCTCAGCCACTCTCTCCAACTTCACTGGGAAAATTCCGGATTGTTTTGGTGTTGCAAGGCTAACGGCACTTTACTTGGCATCCAACAACCTTGAGGGCGGGCTGCCGGCGACCTTTCCGGGTTCTTCAATCGAACAATTGTGGTTGACTGGGCAGAATAGTATTCACAAGCTAAATGGTTCAATTGCTGTGATACAGAACATGACCAAGTTGACCGAACTGTGGTTGAATTTTAATAACTTTTCAGGTCAATTTCCGGACTTTTCAAGGCTTACTTGGCTGGAGAGCTTTGAAATGTCGGACAACAGCATTACAGGTCAGGTACCGACATCTTTGGTGAATCTTCCAAGGCTTACGAATGTGAGATTGATGAACAGCCTATTACAAGGGCCAACCCCAAAGTTTAATTCTTCTGTCACGGTAGATACAGAAAATGGGTCCAATAGTTTTTGTTTATTAGATCCTGGAGTTGCCTGTGATCCCCGGGTGAATACGTTGCTTTTAATTGCGGAGTCTGTTGGTTACCCAACGGTGTTCACAAAGAAATGGAAAGGGAATGATCCTTGCAACAACTGGCTTGGGATCAGTTGTGTGAATCAAAACATTACTTTTGTCAATTTTCTAAATTTGGGCCTTGCAGGTACAATTTCTCCAAACTTCTCATCAGTCATTTCGTTGGAGATACTAATTCTTGCTAATAATAGTTTGACGGGTACGATCCCAAACGAGCTTACAACTTTGCCTAACCTAATAAAACTAGATGTCTCGAACAATCGACTTTTTGGACAAATTCCATCGTTTAAGAGTAATGTGGTTGTACAGACTGATGGCAATCCTGATTTAGGTAAGGATGGTGTTGCTCAACCACCAACGATATCTGTACCACCTTCAAAGACTTCTTCAAGAAGTGGTAATAGATTCTTGATTGAACTGATTGTGGGTCTCGTAATTGGGGGTGTTTTTGTAGTTTTATTGGTTGGGATTTTGATATATTGCCTATATTGTTGCGAACGAAAGCATTCTAGTGATTTTCATGTTATTGAAGTTGGACGTTTGGCAATTTCTATTCATGTTTTAAGGAGTGCGACTAACAATTTTAGCAAACAGAACATATTGGGAACAGGTGGATTCGGAACTGTTTACAAAGGGGAGTTGCATGATGGGACTAAGATTGCTGTTAAAAGAATGGAGCCTGGACTGGTCAATGAGAGGGTTTGGGATCAATTCAAGTCTGAGATTGCTGTGCTTAGTAAGTTTCGACATAAGATTGTAGTTTCTCTTATAGGATATTGTTTGGATGGAAATGAGAGTGTAGAAATTTAATATATAAAGAAATAGAATAATGTATATATTGATGTTATTGATGCTATTACAAATGGTTCCTTATATAGATGTAGGTGTAGTGGATGGTGGACTGATGGCAATCCTGATTTAGGTAAGGATGGTGTTGCTCAACCACCAACGATATATGTACCACCTTCAAAGACTTCTACAAGAAGTGGCAATAGATTCTTGATTGAAGTGATTGTGGGTCTCGTAATTGGGGGTGTTTTTGTAGTTTTATTGGTTGGGATTTTGATATATTGCCTATATTGTTGTGAACAAAAGCATTCTAGTGATTTTCATGTTATTGAAGTTGGACGTTTGGCAATTTCTATTCATGTTTTAAAGAGTGCGACTAACAATTTTAGCAAACAGAACATATTGGGAACAGGTGGATTCGGAACTGTTTACAAAGGGGAGTTGCATGGTGGGACTAAGATTGCTGTTAAAAGAATGGAGCCTGGACTGGTCAATGAGAGGGTTTGGGATCAATTCAAGTCTGAGATTGCTGTGCTTAGTAAGTTTCGACATAAGCATTTAGTTTCTCTTATAGGATATTGTTTGGATGGAAATGAGAGGCTACTTGTTTATGAATACATGCCTCAAGGGACTATTAGCAGGCATTTGTTTAGATGGAATGAAGAAGGGCTGAAAGCCCTTGAATGGTGGGAAAGATTGGCTATTGCTCTGGATGTGGCCAGAGGCGTTGAGTATATGCATGGTTTAGGTTTTATTCATAGGGATCTCAAACCATCCAACATTCTCCTAGGAGATGATATGCATGCTAAAGTAGCCGATTTTGGATTTGTTCGTCGTGCACCAAATGGAAAGTCTTCAGTTCTAACTAAACTAGCTGGAACTTTTGGGTATCTCGCACCTGAATATGCAGGTACTCTTTTCTAAATTGAACATTGCTCACATATTGCAACCAACACTACAAATTTTACACACAATGATTTGATTGCACTGACAAAGTCGATGGATCCATGTCACAAATTTGGGATCTAGATGGTTGTTCCTTCTAATTAGATAGTCTCCTCCATTTTCTTATCGTTGATGTTTAGAATTTTTAGTTTTGGACATTTTGCAGGCATCAATACCTACTATTATCTTTAATTGTTATGTTTCTATGGTTTGACATTCAGGTGCATAATAGCTTAACTTATGTATGACTGTAGGATGGACCATAAAACAAAAGGAAATTGGCTTTTAAGCCTTTGTTCTTTAGTGACATTGTTTTTAACCCTTTTATGATATGTTGTACTTTGGATAATATATAATACCCTAGTAGGATAGTACATGGTGCATTAATTTTTGTTGTACGTGAAATGTGTTCGTTGTGCTTTTTGCATTTCCAACAAATTAATCTAGTCATTGTTGGAGCAGAATATCATTATTTGGAACTTACTATAACATGTTTGTTGAGTCTGTTTGTCTATGTGAATGATGAATTATCACATTTTTTGGGCTGAATTGTTAGGTGAAATGATTCATACTTTTTGAATGTTCAATTTGTTATGGGTTTTCCAATGATCTTCTCTATTTATGGTTGCCGTTAGATTTCGCATCAAATTCTAGCATTCAAATGTCTTGTTCTTATTTTTGTCAGAGAAAGGGCCAGTCCATGGTGCGCAACTCCTATGATTCACATAAGAGTTATGACTCAATGTACTTGATATTATAAATTTGATAACATTGAATCATAACCTTTGAAAATATTCATTTTCACACTGTAGAATTTGCCTCACATAAGAGATACGCTATTGGCTTTAATGTCTAATCTTAGTCTTTTTCGTTAAAGTCAAATCTTTTAAACATGTATTTTTGAAATTCGTGCAATTTTTTAGTACATAATTTTTAAATCCAAAATTTTGAAGTCACGCGTTGAAAATTCTAATCTTGCATATGATTGGACAGTGACAGGACGAGTGACAGTTAAGGTTGATGTGTTCAGCTTCGGTGTGATTCTAATGCAGCTTATTACGGGAAAAAAAGCTGTAGTTGAGCTTGAGACCCATCAAGATGAGTGCATTGGTCTTGTCACATGGTTCCGCAAAATGCGTATGCACGAAATCGCATTCCATAAGGCCATTGACCCTGTGATTGATCTTGATGAAGAAACTCTTGCTAGTATCAGCATTGTTGCTGAGTTAGCTGGCCACTGCTGTGCAAAGAAGCCCTCCCAAAGGCCCAACATATGCCATGCAGTCAATGTTCTTTCATCTCTTGTAGAACTCTGGAAACCTTTAAACCGTCACTCTGAGGAGGGAGTTGGATCATCTGGAGAGCTCAAACTAAAAGATCAATGCCACACATTTCAAAATGAGTTGCCACAATTTTAAAAGTTTAGATAAGTAGTTATAATTTTGTAAGATCACTACTTATTTGAGAGTTTCGATATATGTAAATTTGTTTAAAAAAAATGTGTGGAAAGTGCCTTTAAATTCTCCCTATTTTCACATTGACTTCGATTTGAAGATAGCAAAGGCAATTAAGATGTGGCAAGCGCTAATAGAAATGAATTCACAGATAAATCTTTTGTACGCAAATTTTGTTAAATATGTCTATGGTATACCATATATACCTTATAATTAAAGAAAAAAATGACTTAATTTTACACTTTTTTAGTGATGCCTAAAAAAAAAAAAACAAATAAAATAAAATAAAAAACTATCTTAACTAAACATATTATGAGGTATAATTAAAGATTTCATGAGTCATAATTAAAATAATGTCACAATTAAAGAAGAAATTTAATTATAATTAAAGAAGAAAATGAAATAATTAGGAGTGCATGTAATGCACTATTTTTAAGGGCATGTATATTAGAATTTCTCAACTTTGTATGCATAAATGAATAATGACAAATAGTACATAGCTTCTCTCTAATTGTATTCTCACGATGTTGTGGAGCTTGCATTTTTTTATTATTATTTTCTTTCATAATTGGATGTTCGATTATTGAAGAGAAGGGGAACCTTACAATTATATGCATGTCCATGTATTAAAAATGCATATATGATTATTCTATTTATTGTTGGGCGTCTAATCCAAAGGTCCAAGCCTAACATATCATAACCCATTTAGACCCAAAACAAATTTAATACTCCATTAAGTTCTCAAATTAACAATAAGACGAAAATATCCACAATATATCATCCAATTTACACGCGCGCAACCATCTCCCACGTCTCCATCATCTCAGTTCGATCACTACACTGTCACGTCTCCGCCGCTCGAAATTGACTCCTCAGTCCTCCATCTCTCTTCCGTTCAACTCCATCCCCTCTGAAACCCTAACCCTAACCAGAAAACGTAACCGTTCATCTTCATCACCCACAATCATCTCAGTCTGATCAGTGCACTGTTACATCTCCGCCGCTCGAAATCGCATTCTCAATCCTCCATCTCTCCTCCGTTCGACTCCATTCCCTCTGAAACCCTACCCTAACCACAAAACCAAACCGTTCATCTTCAACACAACACCAAGTCGTTCATATTCTCCAATCGGCGACTCTCAACAACACGAAGAACCATCACCACTCTGAAGAGATTTCATAGTTCCTGACTTCCGATTCACAAAAATGGGGAAAAAAAGTAACATCTCTCTTCACCTATTCATTATTTTTCATTCACATTTGTACATCATTTTTTCATATTTCGTATATACACATTTTACATACTTCCAAATGTATAAACCCTCTTTTATATATAGTCCCCTGTTTTTCAACATTCTAAACACTGTTTTTACACATAAATCCCTGTTTTTACACATTCAACACCTTATTCTTATTCTTGTTGTTCAATATTGGTTACTCTTATTCTTATTTTTGAATTTTTAATCTTCTTGTTGTTATTGTTGCTTTTTACAAAATACAATGGGCTGTTCCTATTGTTCATACTGTTTCCTTATAAAAACTACAACATCATAGTGTTTCATTTCATCACTATACAAGTAACATATCTAAATTTATTCAAACTGCAAATGAAACTGCAAAATTACACAGTTTAACCACTACTCAAAACAAATAGCTAAATTATTATAAAGTGTATACATATATGATTATTCTATTTATTGTTCAAGTTATTTTAATCAATGCTAGAATGCTTTTAATTAAAATTTGTTTTGAATTGGTGCTCTTTTTTTATTTTTTTATTTTTTAAATCCCACTAGCAGAAAATCCGTGTTATACACGATTTTTTTTTTTTTTTCTATTTTTAAAATTGAGTAGACAAGTCTATTTATATGCAACATATAAAACAATGTAAAAAAGAAAGTTGTGACATGATTTGGGCACAATTTCTTTCACATTGGGCATCGTGTTTTATGTTTCTTAATGACACAAACCTTGATTATTGTAGGATCTTTAGGTATGTTTCTTATCTTATTATCGCTAACTAACTTTAGTTATTTTAATTAACTGACTTTTTTTCTATAAAAAATATCAATTACCTTTCTCCAATAATAGAAAATGCAAAGTGATAATATAAAACATAATAAAAGTTAATAATGATCCTACGTAGTAGCTTTTTATAAGTCAAAAGTAAATAATTAAAAAATCAAAGTAAAAAAAAAAAAATAAAAGAAATCTCAATCTATTTGATTCAATGGATATAATGGTGATACAATTCACATTTTTGTAATATCTGAGGTGATAATCAACTACTGTAATAAGCTATAACAACCTATACTTAATTATAGTCAGTTGTCACAAACTTATCTAGCTGTAATAGCTGTAATACAAGTGGTATCTCCTCTGTATCTATCTAACTATAACTAACTAATATATAACACGCGAGCTCAGCTGAAATGTGATTTTTTGTGGCACCTCCTGAAGCTTGATCTCTTGTGTTTTGATTGCCATAGTTTGAGATTGATCATGCAGCTTATCATACCCCCTCATGTTTAGGGGAGAAGTATGAACCATAAGCTTGCTTTGCAAATGTAAGGCCCCAATTTTATTACTCGAATACATTATTAAGATTTCTTATTAAAGTCCAATTGCGTAACATAAATGCGGAAGCAAAACTATAATGAATAAATAGTAATATTATCTTTCATATAGTACAAATTGAAAATTTTAAAAACTCCCGAGATATTAATTTGTGATTATGCTTCAATTTAAAAAAACGAATAGGAATTACAAACAAGCAATCAACAATAAATCGGCACAACAATTTAACGTGGAAAAAATCACAATTGGACTGCTCCAATTGTGATAAAAAATCACGGGCTAAAAGTAGAAAACAATCCACTACAAAGACAAAAAAAAATTATACATGGCAACTCTCAACTACCTAGTGAATCCAAGCCCGAATTGAACCGAATTTGATGTGTCTCTTCCACCACCGTCTTCACCTAGGAATTGCTTTGCCCAACGTTGAGTCTACAACGCCAATGTTGAATCCACGACGATAAGTCATTTAGCAATCTACCAAAGCTTTAGGCCCAAGTTCCTTCGAATCTACCGATGAACAACTCTCTCTCTATATGTAGTTTGTTGATCAATCGATCACTTTTTATACATCAAGGAAACTCATATATAAAACTATCCAATCCAAAACACTTTATTTTTTACTCCTCTCTGAGAATATGGATGGATTCAACCCTAAAAACAGCAAATAGCGCACTTTATACTAAATAGAGCCGCGAAGACAGCTAGAGCGCTCACTTTACCGCTTGAGCGGTGTGATTAAAGGCGATGCTCATATATAGGCCAACTGCTCAAGCACAACATTTACTGCTCGAGCAGTAAAACATACTTCCCAGAAGTTCAGACCATGGGCAAAGATATTGGATGAACCACTTCACCTCTCAAGCAAATAAATGATCACTCGAGCAGTCAAACAACTTTGGCTTCAAGGGCGCTGCCCCAAGACCCTTCTTGGGCATTGCCCTAGACCTGCCAGGGCGCTACCCCCTGGACTCTTGTGAGCTAACCGGGCAGCTCGATCCCCATTACTTAGTCAGCAAAATAGCAAATAAGGAATGCTTCAGTCAAGTTACGGAATGTCAACACAAACCCCTCTACACAGGCACAACTCAGGTTGGATTCGCATCTAAACTCTCATAACTCACAAATACAATAGAGCAAATAAAAATACAACTGAATGAAGTTTTATCCAATGGGTTTACCAACTACAAAGACCTAACACAAATGATGAAGTATACAAATACAACAGATTACAATACATACCCTTAGGCTTACATAGAATATTACAAAATAAATCATTACAACGAAAGAACAACGTCATTTCAACAATACATTAACCCTTCACCCACAATCAACAAAAAAATTTAAAGTCCTCAATAAAATAACTTCTTGATCCTTGAACCCCATACCTAAAAAATTGTTTAAACAACAGGATGAATACAAAGGTCTAGTAAGGATCTACAATGATTCTAATCAATAAGAACTTGTAGATATATGTGATCATGAATGCTCATGTTATATATATATATATATATATGTATGTATGATGACATCTTTTCATATCCATAGTATTTACATACGTACATTTACTTTCTCAAAAGAAGTCATCTTTAACAATTTAAGAAAAAACTCCTTTCGATTAAGTCATTATCTTCTCAAAAATGTTTCCAACCTGTATTACAATTTGAAAGCCTTACACACATGAACAAACCTAACATCTCACAGATAATAGATGACTATTAACATTTACAACCATTAACAAGTCTAACTTTCATCACTTAGGACAAGAAGTTATAAATCAAATTCTTTTCAACACCATTTAAACTACTTACTTGATCATCTATCACAATTCCATATGTACACAAATTTTTACACAAATGCACAAGTAAACAGCGAACACTATCACAGTTCACAATCCGACTTTGGCAAAACCATTCCAACACAATTTATCGAGCGCTAACCGGGAGGAAATTAAAACCTATGTCAAAGTGCCACACTTTACCGGTGGCTAGCTGGAAGGAAAGCAAAACCTCTATATAGCCCAATAATCCATATGCTTTACCAGGAGCAAGCTGGAAAGAAAGTGGAACCTATGTCAATGTGCCACGCTTTACCTGTCACAAGTCGGAAAGAAACAGATTCGATATCACACGATTTTTACCATGTGCAAACCGGAATAAAATCGACACCTATGTGAAAGCGCTACGCTTTACTAGGTGCTAACCGAAGAAAGCGAAATCTCTATATAAAACTTTCATCATTCCTATCAATATGTTCCCATATTTATTAAAACCACAACAAATAATCAACAACACTAACAAATGGAATCTAACCAGAACTATCAATAACATTTACAATGTAAAAGAAATTCCTTTTACGATGCAAGAAGCTTTATCATCACTTGATGCTATTTTCTAGAGAGAGGCTATAAATGATGAGATAGATTCACTACTTTCAAATAAAGCATGGAAGCTAGTGGATTTACCTCTAGGTTGTAAAACTATTGGGTGTAAATGGGTCCTTCATAAAAAACTTAAACCGGATGGAATTATAGATAAATATAAAGCGAGGCTTGTTGCTAAAGGTTTTAAGCAACAAGTTGATCTTGATTTCTTTGATACCTTTTTTCTAGTTACTAGAGTTATATCCATTAGACTGTTGATAGCAGTGGCTGTAATTCATGATTTAAAAATTCATCAAATGGATGTGAAAATAGCATTTTTAAATATAGATCTAGATGAGGAGATTTACATGGACCAACCAGAGGGCTCTGTGGAGCTTGACCAAGAAAGCAAGGTGTGTAAGCTAACTAAATCCCTTTATGGTTTAAAACAAGCTCCTAAACAGTGGCATGAGAAATTTGATTCATGCATGCTTGATAATGGCTATAAGACTAATGAATGTGATAAGTGCATATATTATAAAACTTGTGAGAATGCACATGTGATTATTAGCCTATATATGGATGATCAACTTATCTTTGGCTCTAATTTGCATATTATAAATGAGACTAAAAATATGTGTAATAGTCACTTTGATATGAAAGATCTTGGTGAAGCCAATTTTATTTTGGGAATTAAAATTACAAAGACTAATGATGGCATTTTTCTTGATCAGTAGCATTATGTTGAGAAAATTTTAAAGAAATATAACTTTCTAGACTGTAAACATATTGCTACTCCTTTTGATGCAAGCATACATTTATCTGTCGTAACAAATGAAAAAAAAAAGTGATTAATTAAAAAGAATATGCTAGCATGATTGATAGTTTGAGACATGCTACTGACTGTACTAGACCTGACATTGCATATGCTATTGGAGTACTTAGCAGATTTACTAGCAAGCCAAGTCACGATCATTGGCTAGCCATGTGAATAATTATTAGATATTTATCTGGTACGAAAAATTATGGTTTGTTTTATAACAAGTATCCTGCAGTACTTGAGGGATATATGCTGATTGGAACACTTTGTCAGGTGATTCTCTCTCTACCTTGGGTTTTATTTTTACCTTGGGTGGTGGTGCTATATGTTGGAAGTCTAAAAAACAGACTATAATTGCTAATTCTACAATGGAAGCTGAGCTTATAGCATTAGCTTCAACATGTGAGGAAGTGAATTGGTTGAAAGATTTGTTACATGAAATCCCTTTTTGAGAAAAACCAATTTCTTCTGTGTTAATTCATTGTGATAGCACTGCTGCTATTGGTAGAGTGAACAACCATTTTTGTAATGGTAAATCCAGACCTATTCGAAGGAAACACAGTAATGTGGGATCTTATTTAAGTAATGGCATCATAACTGTGAATTATGTAAAATCTTGTGGTAATCTTACGGATCCGTTAACCAAGTCCTTGGCGAGAGATAGGGACTGGAATACATCGAGGGAGATGGGTTTGAAGCCTATAAAATCATAAACCACATATGAGGACATCCAACCTAGGGACCAGAGATCCTGTAACTAAGTTCAATGGGAAGAAAGAATCATATGGTAGTTGTAAAAAAATGCACTCCTTAATATTTTGTTGTCTATCCGTATGATGTAAGTGTGTTTGTTCTGTAATGTTGGAGGGTTGAGTTTTTATACTCTTAATGAAATTATGTAGCTCTTGTTGACAGATTTAACCTATGTGAGCATGGAAGTGGGGCCGCTTTCTATGAGAACAAGGCTTATTCTCAAATATGCTCATAAAAATTGGGATAGGCACAAGGCCGTAATATGCTGGCTATTAAAAGTTCATGTCAACACCTGGATCATTATGTGTGAGCAGTAATACTTTATTTCCCCTAGGTAGTCATAGTTCAAGTCTGAGACCACTACTGTAACGCCCTCAAAATAAACCCAATAATCATACATTCTTAACATGCTCAGACATAGGAGAATAAAGCATAAGTACATTTCATCAGAGTATTTCTTACAAACATATCACATGTTAACAACAAAAGCAAATGGCCTATGGGTTTACAGCTTTCCAAGTCAACACTTGGTTACAAAAAGAAGAGTTCTAACTATATACAAAATAAGCCCTTAGCTTGATTTACATGTAATACAAATAAAGTAATCACAAATGAAGACCCAGCTACTAATCCCCTCAAGCTATGTCCTTGGAGGTGGCATGCTACCTGTACCTGAAAATAATGTCCCATAAAGGGTGAGCCAACGCCCAGTAGAGATATGCTAAACATTGTATGAGCAATAACTAAAACATCAGCATTTGATAAATGTTTAATTCACATAAATCAATTCATATTTCATTTCAAATACATGACCAATGTGTCCATGTTTTTATTCCATCTCATAACCAATTCTCGATTCACAACCCTGGCTCAGAACCTAGCCATATACTTTAAGTGAGATTACATCCCATATCAACAACGTTTCTATTTCAACTGAAATAACAACTCAAATTAATCATTTCATGCTTCATAATAGATACACATTTTAGTACTGTATCCGTCTCAGACAAAACACTTCCATATTCCACATATGATACACATTTTAGTGTTGTATCAATGTTAAACAAAATACTTTCATATTCCACATATGATTCACATTTTAGTGTTGTATCAATGTCAAACGATATCCGGTTTAGAGGTCCATCCCCTACCTTCCCCTAAACCGTGGAGTACATCCCCTATCTCCTCTCACACAACACAATGTATATAAACACAGATCATATACATAACCAAACCAATACATAAAATTCATGTATTATATCAACCGCCATATTTAATGGCATACTCAATTTATTAGTTTTAGTTTGCCAATTCATCATGCATTGTCTACAACAATTAAGACTATCCTCCACCGATAGTCCAAAGCAATTATTTCTAAACAGATAATAATTACGTTCAACAAATAAATATCAACAATTTCAAAAGTGAGCGATTAATAAATCCAACTTCACTATTCCGTCTCATACTGAGCCAATTTCAATATATATATTCAACTCAATTTCATACTCTCATGATTTTCCCAAATTAATTATACCAATTAATTTATGCACAAATTAGGGCTTTCTCTCCCATTTCTCAATATTAACCCAAAGGTTCACATATCAACAACTCTTTAACAATACCATCATTTTGAGACCCAAATACATATTCAAGAATCAAAATAACAAAACCCCCTTTATTCATTTTGAAACCCTAAGTCCCAAAGTTTCCCAACTCAAACCATCTATACAAATAGCTCAATATTTAGGTTAAAACACATAAGAATGAGTAGGAATCCCTACCTCAAATTCGGAGCTCAAAGGAAGATGATGAAGAAATTGATGATGTTCCAAACCAAGAAATTTTCGAATCAAAATAAAGCCCTCGACGATCCCTACAACTTTTACAAAGGCCCAAGACGAGGAAACCACTCTTACTAGATCAATCCCTAGAGAGAAGGTAAGGTTTTAGAGAGAGAAGCTCTCAAATCTGTGTTTGGGAAAGTAAGAGAGAGAAAGAGTGAAACCAAAAAGTGATCCAAAAAGTGAAATCCCGAAGTGATATACCAATCGCCCCGCTCGAGCGTGGAAACCCCCGCTCGAGCGTCAGACACAGACTCACGCTCGAGCGTCAAAAGCGTCGCTCGAGCGTAGATTGCACACTTCCAGAAGTTTTACAGACATGGTCCCCGCTCGAGCGGAGGAAGAAAAACAAAGGTTCACGCTCGAGCGTCAAAACTCCCACTCGAGCATCTGAAGACCTGCAGACAAAAGTACTGGAAGATGGAAAATCACGCTTGAGTGTCAAAACTCCCGCTCGAGCGTCAAAATCCCCGCTCGAGCGTGAAGGCCAAAATCTGGGCGTCAACTCTAGGTTTCAAAACACAACCAACCTGTTTCAGACCTGCCCAACACATCCTATAACTCAAATACAAAGTACGAAAGGATGTAAACAAGATATAAACAACTGCTAACATCCACGGAACCAAGTCCGGATCGCTGTACAACAAGGGGTAAAATCCGAGATCGCTATAACTGACTCTGGAGTAGAGGTTGTTGTTTCACTAATAAAGGTTCGATGCAAAGCACACCTTCATGATGCATACTAGTCAATCTTTGTTTGGTAATCTCTCTTGTCCTTGTTGATATTAAAATGAGTGGGGAATTGTTAGACTATTTTAATATCGTTTATTTATTTATTATTTTTTGGTGACCTTTTTTCTTGTTCATGAATCTTACTTTTTTTGGTGACCTTTTGTTTTGTTCATGAATGAAGATTAATTGGAAGGTCATGGGCTTGGTGGTGAATTAATATTTGGAGATTTTAAGACTCTCCCTTTTCTCTAGTTTAATAGTCATTATTTTTTGGTGTAATTTGTAAGGTCCTAGTGGCCTATAAATTGTTCCTCTCATCTACTCTTTTCTAGACTAACTATTTTTTACACTTGAGAGATTACTAGCCAAAGATGGGTGTTGGCCTGAACCATACGACAAGTGGTCAGACTGTTGTATCCTGGAGGGGACAAGTCATAGTTTAGTGACTGCGGCATCGGTATTTGGGTTCTTCCTACCGTAGTGGGCTTGATCTCCTTAAAGAAACGAGATATTCGTGCCTCAGCCTGATTTATTTGTATCTCATTTTCTTTGCATTATTTATCAATAAATATAATTCTTCTAGTATTCTTACCAACAAAAGCCCTTACTCTAGACCCACAAACAAATATATGTCTACAATTCCCTATAGATTCCAAAAGCAAGCTTCAACCACCTCTTGGAAACAACTTCACAGGAAATGCCTTTGTTCTTACTTCAGTCTCCTGCTTGGTGAAAGACCTATTGGAACAACCCCTTCACATCACCATTCAAAAAATTCAAGAAACAAAAGATATCATCACTGATGAATACATTAAACTCTACATGAAAGCACTCGAATCCTTTGACAAGTTCTTCCCCTCCATGCGCGAATTGACAATTGTGACTGATTGGTTGAAATTCCCTCTCCATGCACTTGATTTCGGTTGGGGAAAGGTTTCGAGTGTAGCTCTCTTGACCACTCTTGTCTCAGAAACTGCATTCCTGATGCCAAATCTTGAAGATTCTGATTAAGGGTTCCTGGTAAGAATTTGAATTGAAGGACAACATGTTCAAATTTTCATTGGCTTCTTCAATGACTTCAATTAGTACCTACAAGAAAAAATAAAAGAAAACAAAACTTGCCACGATAGTTAATCATCGGTAAATATATTTTTTCGTCACGTCACAAATAGTATTAGAGACGAAAAAAGTTCTACTGACGACAAAGAGCAAACTTTTAGTAATGAAAAACTATCGTGGCAAATACTTTCAACACGAAAAGTTTTTTTTTTTTAGTAGTAGTGAGTGATGGAATAGTAAAAGTTCCATGCATGCTTTCCATTTCTAGGGGTAAGACTCTTTAAATTTTTATGAGTTTTTAGGTGTGCTGCATCAATAAACTGGGGTGATGAAGACTTGTGAGTATTAATTTGCTATTGTTGTTGGTGTAGTTGTGATTTGAAATTTGTATTAATATGTAGTCTTGTTTGGAAGGCAATGATATGAGTTTGATCAAGATTGTATGTGAGAAATAAAATTAAAAGCTTGTCCTCTCAATGGTCCATTTCCATGACTTTTTTTTTCTTTATCTATGTTCTTATTATTGATAATTGCTATTAATTCAATTAATGTTCATTTCCATGAACATGTGATTTATCTACCTTCTTGATTGTCAGTTTGATAGTCATTCAACTGCCTTGAATTTACTTTCAAAGTTAGTTCTAAAACTTAACAAAAAATTTATTTTATGATAAATTACACCCATCTCTCCTGAGGTTTCTGACAATTATAAGAACTTTTCCTATAGTTTCAATAATTACACTAACCTCCCTTACTTTTGAAACTATTATCAAGATTTTCCCAGTCTTAGGTTATTTAACAGAATATGATAATGTCATACTGATGTCATACCAAAAATGAACAAATTGCCCATTAATTACTTTATATATTCAAATGAGAAATTTCACTCACCCCATCTAAGATTTTGCATATATATTATCAAAAATTCATACACATTTTACCATTATTTAATAAAATTCTTAAATTTCATGAAATATTAAACAAAATTTTTTAATTGTTAAGACAATATTAAATCATTTAATGCCCAAAAATTAATTAATTATTTATTTATTTAATTTTTATTGATAAAATACTTAAAAATAAATAATCTAAGACTTATTTCACACTACGTAAATAACCTAAAATTTATTATTTTAAGTAATGCATTTATTATTTGAATTTTTTTAAAGTAAAAATAAATAGATTTATTTTTTGAAAAATTACTAGTAAATCCTAATTTCAGGATTGTTGATCCATTTAGTCTTGTGTTTTTTTTCTTATGAACCATTTGGTCCTATTTAATTGGCAAGGAATATTTTTCTTTGATTTGGCATGTGTAGAGTTTACATATTTACCCTTTTGTGGGATTTGGTGTGATTTTCTTTTTTTTTTTCTTTTTTTTCTTTTTTTGATGTGTGGTAATGATGTTGAGGGTAATGTTTTACATTTCCATTTGTGTATGTGGGTTGTGTAGAGTGGTCAACGGTGGGTTGTCTTGCAGTTGTTAATGTTGTTTTTCTTGTAACGTGGTAACTATTTTTCTGGATTGTTTCTACGTCAAACACGTTCATTTGTTTGATCGAAAACGACAACCTATACGAGGTCTACACAAACCACTTGAACTCAAATTTTTCAAATGATCACAAACCAGTACATGATGACAATTTCGGTGTACAACATTCCATATAAACAATTACAATCTCATTAGGCTTACTTCATGTAATGTTATTCATTTTCCTCTAGGTGGTGCAAATTTAACTTAGAAAAATAGCAAGGGTGTACTCCCAAACACATTTCCCAAATAATGCAACAGGGGAACAACATAATACTGTAGACACACTCCAATTTTCACACAATGTAATTCCACATTAAAACAGAATTAACAAACATGAGAAAATATTGCAGCGCATTTGCCGACATAGCTGCGAAATTAACATGCACAAACATCTATCAACGAAATGAATATCATACCTCCAACCTCCAACCTGGGCATTTTTCCATTTACAAATCGACAACATAACATCAACATACATGATTCACTCCTAAAATAATAACCATAACTCATACCAACAAAATTCCAGTTACTGTGATTTTCAGTTGTTACACACGTCACCGTACTAACAAGAAACAATAGAATACCCAACATAATCTTATACATACAGTGTGACTCCAATGTAATATTGAATCTTCACAACATAATTTTATCCAAATATAGCATTGCACATTACATTAACAATGCAGAGCATGCAATGACGAAACAAACCCCAAAATCAGTAACCCATACAACAACACTGTGGAATTCGATGAAACAAATTGGAACAGGCAACCAGGTTGACGTTTGGCCGCTGAAATTTGAATACGATTTTCTCCCACCAGTCCTACAGGCACACCACACTACCTGTAGTACCTGCAACATTGTTACCTTTACATTATTAGGCTATCTATCGCCAGCGGGAAAAAAAAAATTAAAAAACAATGAACTGCCCATCCTAAATATTACCATGACCATCACACAATATCATGTACTTTCTTAACTTGTTACCGACGAAACTGTAGCATGCAATACACATTATAAATGTAAAAAAAAATACAGTCACACTTGAAAGCTCAACCACTGAGGCATAACAACTTGAAACACCATCGACATCAGTACCAACAAATAATATACCGCACGATGATCACTTACAAACGCGTACATGCATGCCATTAACCATTAACAAAAACATTGACATATCACACAATGCAAAACCAAAGTGATTATGTCCGTCTTCACCAAAAAATGACCCAATCATTTAAAAATTGTCCACTTAGTCAACGCAACTGCCATTGTATTACAAGAACATGTACATCACCAACAACACATTCACAGATGTAATTATTAACTCCAAATGAATTGTCATACAACTATTTTTGGACGATCCGACATACGGAAATCATTTATGTCACCATGAACTTAAATGTCATTCAAAACAATCGACGTACCACTATGTGTAATGTCTACTAACATGCATTTCGTAAACAGGTCACGCATTATTACATTTACGTATACAATCATAACTACAGTAGAAACAGAACCCAACCACTTACCGACACTACGAATAAAGATCTCACTACCCAAACATGGACATTATATACACTCCACAAAATTGCAGCCACATATACAATTGTAAAAACAAGGGACACATTGTGTCAATACTACAACTTAACACAACAAACTCTACAATGACACCACCATCAAATTGACAGCAATCTATGATCACACAACCTACCCAAATGTAACACTACCCAGAATACAACCCAAACATTCCATGACTATACCCCTTCGCAAATCCAAACCCACCCAAACATTATGTTCAAACAACATCAAAGACAAAGAACAAACATCGCTAACTACCCATCATATACATGCACATACTTTAACATTAACCAAATATACTCAAACACCCTAAGGAAAATGATCCATAATAACTAGTGGAATAAGAAGTCGGATGACACACACCTGATATCATCATTCACCAACACAATCAAAGGCACCGATGATGGGTGGCAGTTAACTTCACGCCGCCAGCTGTCACGATGCGAACGGCAACAAAGACAGCAAACGTACACAGCCCCACTCGCTTCTGACGGTTCAATGTTACAACACATCAAGTGGAGTGTTGTATTTCTAGGGTTTGGGAGGGAAGCCAAATGTTATTTGGGGAAACTACGAATACCAACCTAACATTCCCAATTCATTGAACACTGTAAGAATATTTTATAGAGTAACATTGCCATCTTCAAACATTGCCATTTAAATCTCTTCTGGAATGATTGGCTGGGAGGGAAATCCCAAAAACTATACAGTTGGCTTTTGTACAAATTTTTGAAATCAACATCACTAAAACTTCCTTTCTATGCCTACATTTCTGAAAACCATATGGTGGGCCAACTTACAAAAGGGTCTTTTACATTGAAATGGGACTTATCAGTCCACAAGAAAAAAGGCAAGACTAAATGGTTTATAAGACCTAAATTTGGGATTTATTGGTGCTTTACCTATTATTTTGTTCCCGACAATTTGCATTACTTATTTATTTTCTCAACCATATATTATTCTCAAATTTTGATTTTTACCTTTGAGTCATTAAATTTCTAATTTATGCATATTTAAAAAAATGAAGGTTAATATTTCTTACATGATTAAAAAAAATAAAATAAAATAAAAATAAAATAAAAATAAAAGTAAAAACAAAATTAATCGCCTCACAATAAATTAAAATTAGTTAATAGGGAATGAAAAATTAAGAAATCATTTGAGAATAATAAACAAATCAAACAATTTGTCATTTCTTGCACCCAAAATTAAAATTAATCTTTACTTGAATGGAGAAATTATTTGAGAATAATAAAACACTCAATTAATTTGTTATGTATGATACTTACAATCTATGTCTCCATATTTATTTATCTCATTTAAACTATTATTATTAAATTAAATCTTAAAATTTATTTCTCACCTTCGTTAATGGTTGAATTTTTATTTTATGTTTTGTTTATAAATGTTCAAAAACTTGTTGTGGAAGTCAAGAAATTATATTTATATTTTGAAAAAATTATGAAAAATAAATAATAATTTCATATATATTTAATAGGGTAATTAAATTACATTTATATTTTTTTTTCTTTGGAAAGTATTTTATTTCGTTATGTGTATAAATTAGTATTAGAGTCTGATTTTTCAGTCTTGTCAATAAAATTATATGAGTATTAGATATATGGAAGAAGTAAAATTAGATATTTTAAATAATAGTATTTCGCTATAAATAATAATAGAACAAAATAAAGGTGCGAAATTAAAAATAAAGTAAAAATTTAACTGTTAATGAATGTGAGAAATTAATTTTAAGATTTAATCTAATAAAAATAGTTTAAATGAGAAAAATAAATATTGAGAAATATATTTTAAGTATCATACAATAAATTAATTGAGT